AACACCCCAGCCTTCCAGGATCCCTGGCCAAACTGGCCTGGAGAACAATAGCTTCCTGACCTAACCTATTTTCTTAGCTTAATGGGATGGCTCATGGTGTAGGACGACAAAAATGCTGCACTTTGCTGAATTCCCTATCCCTCAACTGATGATTGAGTTGTAAATAAATCTTTATTAGTTGTTATCCATTTTTAATCCTTCCTTAATAGAGCTCAGTGCTGCTAATTGGATATGCTTGTTTCCTGACATTATGTTTCAGGAGTTGACTGATTTTTTTTTCTTGATGCGTTTGACGATGAGCATAGTGACTCGTCAAAGGGGAGCCAGGCCGTGTCTGTAGATTCAGCAATAATGAAAGAGACAGGGTAAATTTTATTAAAGGGCAAGGTACATTATTTATTTATTTATTTATTGTTTCAGGAGTTGACTGATTTTTTTTTCTTGATGCGTTTGACGATGAGCATAGTGACTCGTCAAAGGGGAGCCAGGCCGTGTCTGTAGATTCAGCAATAATGAAAGAGACAGGGTAAATTTTATTAAATGGCAAGGTACATTATTTATTTATTTATTTATTAGATTTATATCCTTCAGTAAGCAAACAACCACTTTGCAGAAGCCTTTTATGGTAAAGGGGTTTCAGGACAGGGTAATGTCAACATACCTGTAGTGGCATTCATTTTAGTTTTCAGCAGTCCGTCTCCTGTATATCACTATAGCCTCTAAGTGCTGACAGGTTGCAACACTGAGGCCCCGTTCATACGAGGGGTTTTGGTCCGGGAGTGAGACAGAACGGGGGCGGATCAAACGGGCGCGATCCCACGGCAACATCTGGGAATCGTTGCCTGTCCGTCCCCGATTTGTCTCTTCCGCGCGAAAACCCGCACTAAAAAGAACCACCTACCTGTGTGGTTCTTGCAAAGTAGAGTGGCTCAAACCGGCCGTGGGATCGGCCGCACGTCCTTGCGGCGGCCTCCCCCTTGCCTCCGACTCTTCCTCCCTGGCATGTGATCGTGCCGGGGAGCAACGGCGCGCGGTGCATGGGATCCGTGGGATCCCTCCCGCGCGTATCTTTTTTGATGCGGCTCTCTTTAGCCGCGCTTCGCTTCGTGTTTTCCCTGCCGTGTGGCAGGGGCCTCAGATTGTTAACCCCATCTCTTTTTAGTTATTATGCAGTTTATTACAAGAAAAAGAAACTCCTATTTCAGCAAAAGGAAAATTTCTCAGTCGCATGTTGTCACTCTGGAGGAAACCCAAGCCAATATAGCCAGGCAGATTAGAAAATTTAAAAGAAAACAATCCCATATATATGCCCAGATACAAATCTACTAATACATCAGTGCCAAATAAAACATCTTATGTGCTTTTTACCAGCACAAGATGAAATAACAGAAGCAGTATCACATTATTTTTCTGCCCCATATGCTACTAACCTCATCGTACCATTTGGTTCTCAGTAGTATTACCTATCTTAATTGGTTCCGAAAAGGGTTTGCTGCCTCCTGGGTATGGATATATAATCTAGCTTGACAGTTGTGTTTGTTTAGCCCATACATAAGCCTCAGGCCTGCAAGCATGTGATGCCAGCCCCAGGAAAAGGGCCTTTATGTATGCAGGATTGATTACTTTGTGGTGCGATGAGTGTTGCAGCAATGATATGAAATACGTTACTATCATTCAAATGATATGCACTCAGAGGAGGGGTGCAACCAGTGATCCTCCAAAACTGTTTTTCAGGGTATACACTTTTGAGAATCAAAGCCCCAGTTTGGTGTAGTGGTTAAGAGCGTGGAATCTAATCTGGGAGAACCAGATTTGATTCCCTGCTCCTCCACATGCAGCCAGCTGGGTGACCTTGGGCCAGTTACAGTTCTCTCAGCGCTCTCTCAGACCCACCTGTCTCAGAGGGTGAGGAAGGGAAGGAGATTGGTGACCTTGGGTCAGTCACAAGTTCTTTCAGAGCTGTTCTCTTAAGAGCAGTTTTCTCAGAGGTCTCTCAGCCGCACCTGCCTCACAGGGTGTCTGTTGTGGGGAGAGGAAGGGAAGGAGATGGGTGACCTTGGGTCAGTCACAAGTTCTTTCAGAGCTGTTCTCTCAAGGGCAACTCTCTCAGAGCTCTCTCAGCCGCACCTGCCTCACAGGGTGTCTGTTGTGGGGAGAGGAAGGAAAGGAGATGGGTGACCTTGGGTCAGTCACAAGTTCTTTCAGAGCTGTTCTCTCAAGGGCAACTCTCTCAGAGCTCTCTCAGCCGCACCTGCCTCACAGGGTGTCTGTTGTGGGGAGAGGAAGGGAAGGAGATGGGTGACCCGCTCTGAGACTCGGAGTGAAGGGTGGGGTAAAAATCCAATCTCCTCCTCCTCCTCTTCCTCCTACTCCTTCTTGACAAAGGGAGCTTTGACTCTTGCAAGCTTGTACCCTGAAAATTTTGTTGGTCTTGAGGTGCTACTGGACTCGAATCTAGCTCTTTCACTGCCAACCAACATGGCTACCCTCTGAAACAACCATCCTCCAAGGAGCCTTTCTTCAACAGAAGAGCCATTTAAGTTGGAGGGAGGCTTCTTATATTGGAGACAGGCTTCAGACTTGAGCCAAAAGGAAAGGTGGGGTATAAACATTTTAATAAATAAACTTTGCTCAAGGGAGTGGCAGGATAGGGGTAGGATCCAGCCCAGAATCTGCAACAGTGGCTGCCTCAGTTGCCTTGGGCAGGGTGGTTCCTCTTGTGATTATTCCCCCAACATTTTGTTTATACCGTTGACAGAGTCAAACAGTGCAGCTTTGCGAAGTCTGTCCTGCTTCATGTGTGTGAGAGAGTGTGGGTGAGCTGTGCTCCACCACCACCACAACAAAATACTCCCTACGCAAATGGCTCTTTCCTTTTCTGCATATTTCAAGACACCTTAGATGCAGCCCAGAGTACTAGGCCTGGCTGCTTCCATCCAGGCATGTGGTTTAGTCGTATGCCAGTGTTCACATAACACGCCGGCAATACAGGCCCCCTTAGGGCAGAAGTTGTATATGCGCTTGGGATTGTGTGGGAGCAGTGAAGCGTTTGCAATCACAACAGGCGTCTTGGCATTTGTTCAAACATTCAGACCAAGCAGGTGACACTGCTGTCCAAAGACTGTACAGGTGCAGGTGGAGGAATTGCATGTAGAAATGTTCACCCACGTTAAAAAAGAAATCCTTTCATGAGCAAAGCCAGCACCTCGGAGACCTGAGGTTCTCCCAGTATCAAATCCCGTGCTCTGCCGAGCAGTAGAGCAGATTATTAGATTGTTAGTCCTGCTCTCCAGTCATTTTGTGCAGGGATTTTAAGCGCACTGGGTTATCTAACTTGGTTAAGCACCTTTTGAAGTGCTTGACTTTACAAAAAAATAGAGGGAAGTAATTCACCGCACTTGCGAAGACTGACAGCTTTATAGGAGAACTGCTCTGCGGTTAAATGGTGTATAGAAGCGTGATTTTCTAATGGGAATTAAAAGGGAGCGCCAGGTAGTTTAACTACCATTTTGTGCCTTTACGAATCTCTCCTTTTTTTTACAACCCTCCAATTATCATTTTGTGGTTTAAGTTCTGCACAGCACGGTGAATGCGCCAGCATCTCCTCCTTGATATTTAATTTAACACGATGCTAGTTACATGTCCTTGCCTCTTCCATATAACAAAAGAGTTACCTTACGTTTATTGTTTTAAAACTTTCTTTTTAAACCCCACCTTTACCAAGCTTGACATTTCCCAGTGTTTACAAATAGGAACATATTGCGGTCAGGAGGGTTTGATTCCTCCCCCCCTCCCCCCCCCGGTTAGGTGGTTGTCTGTTTCTTATTGCTTCACAGTAGAGTGTTGATCTCCGTTGTAAGGAAAGTTCAAGAGTCTCATTTGTGGGACTTGAAATGATGGGGATGGTATTTGGCCTGTTGGGGAAACCTGCACACTTGTGGGTTGCCTCAGTGGGCTTAATTGAGCCTTCCTTGGACCTTTTCAGGTTGGGAAGACCATTTGCAGTGGTTCCAATCTGAACTGGGCACCACATGTGCAGGAGCTGAGGGGGACCTATAACTCATGTTTAACTGTTAGACGAGATGGAAACCCCAGATCTGACCCGTGTACTTCGTAATATTTGAATCAGCAATTTAACATGACAAATACAACCACCGTCCCCTTATACACCA